TGCCCTACCCTGTAAGTGAACTCAGGGCAGCTTACAACAACATAGCATAACAAATAAAACAAAATCCAAAGCAACAAGCCATTAAAACATCAAAATTAATCCCGTATGATTAGAATTTGAGGTGACTAACAATTCAATGAGTAGTGGCCGCTCAGGAGAAGAGAAGTTCCTGCCAGGAGAGGGTGGGGGGTCCGTCCAGAGGACAGCTGATGCCACTCCTGGCGCCCCACCTTAATAGCACCTTGGAGCAGTTAAAGCAGGAGAGGCTGACGTTAATTGACGTCCACCACCTCAACCAAAGGCCTGGCAAAACAGCTCCATTTTATAGCTTTATAATGTTATAACAATATAGTGTTATCCCTATAGCTTATAATGTTATACCAATCTGTCTCCCAGGTCCTCCGAATTCCTAGCTTTCGTTTTTTAAAAATGTAAGTCTCTAGCCTTTTTTGTTGCAGAGGACGTTACACTGATCAGCCTGGAACAGCTGCTGGTACTCAGAGGTCGGATTTGGCCCTCGGGCTTCCAGTGCTGATACCAATAATAAATCACTGCTACAATTACAATACCAAATGTGGTACAATGACTTTTTGTAGTGGGAGAGCTACCCATAATCCTTATTTAAACAATGAAATACAGTGTTGATTTGTTAATTAATTCTATTTTGGGGAAAAAATAGGCTCTCATATTTTTAGGAATTCAGGGAGTCTGGATCTGATGGTATATGTGATGCTTTAGTATGTGACCTTGCATTACAGAAATTCCATTTCACAATGTTCTACATTCAGTTCTCACATTAGATCATAAAGAGTACCCCATGTGAATTGCAACTTCATATTCAGCCCAGCAGTTGAATAATCTTAGCCCCATTTGCAACACGGGTCTAATGTAATAGTGTTTTAGCCCTTGCCTCAACTATTCCAAGACTGAAAGGCCATAATGGGCAATTGTGACCACAGTTTCTGATTCCCAAATAGAAACACAATCGGAAAAGAAACCCAATCTGAAATGTGAAGGCAAATAAATAATGGTTTAAAAATCTTTTGCAGATGAATGTTAAGTAACTGGTGTGATAACTGACAAGCATCAATCAGTTATACATTGTGGCAAAGATCAGTTGGTAAAATGGGGTCATTTGAACAAGAAGGCTGAAAGTAAGGTCATTTGTCTAGAAGTGAAGACGGTAGGTCACATTCTTTGTCCAGATGGCAGCTTTCAGCACATAGTGCTCAACCAGAAATGGGGAAAACTTATCTCAGAGTAGAGGTAGCAACTAGTGCTGGTGGAAATTTTGTGTTGTCCTTGGACTGGGCCATCCATTCTGACCTTGCAAGTCCCTGATCTGCTATGGGCTAGAGTAGCAGCTATTGAAGGGGGCACAGTCCCATAATTGGCATAGGGTTTGCAGGCTCAGGCGATCTGATTCAGTAAACTGGACACTTGCCAACACCCCCATCTGGAAGTGCCCTTAAATAATGGGAAAGAATAATCTGGGAAGTGGTGAAAGGATCTAACAGCCGCAATACGATACCAATTGTGATTTGCAAAGCGTCTTGCGAGATTCTCGAGTTTTTCAAATTGCAGCCACCTTTTGCATTTTCACATCTTGTCTATCTATGCACAATAGACCTTGCATATTCCAACAGGAATTAAGTGACTCATTGAAACAAGGTTGCATGGCTTGTTCTAATTAATTTGCATTTGCTCATTTAGGTGTAGATCTTCCTGTATTGAATTATGCAGAAGATCTAATAAGATCACTGTTAGATACGAGACTCGAGGCAGCAGGTGAACAGTGATAACAGCTTTATTGAACACGTAGTCAGAAGAACAGTATGAGACAAATCAATGGAGCAGCAGGCTCCTTTTTAAACTGTCCGGGCTTGGCAAGCCACGCCCACATGTCAGCTAAGGTCCAATCAGAAACTGTACATAAAGGCCAATTACTTCGCTTCCCTCCAGAACTCCTTTTGTTCCGATAGGTCGGTTTACATTACCTTTCAGATTTCAAGCTCAGTACATTCATTCCATTCCATTACATACACAACAATCCTCCCCCTAAGACGAGACAACCCTTGAGCAGTCATACTCACTCAAGTAAGCAGGACACTGCTTGACCCGTTGGGATCGTCTGATACTTACTGCAGGAGGGGAAGGAGGAACAACTTTGGGCTCCCTGTAAGTGGGTTCAGTCTGATTCCAAATGGGACTGAGAGTCCGTGGCCGATTCGCATAGTCATGGCTCTGCCTGCCCTCGACTATGCCTGAGGGTTCCAGTGCTTGGAAGCCCTCAGTCAGTTTGGAGTCCAGAGACTCTACTTGACTGTCTGAGTCAGGTACATCGGCCACCCGGGGAAGGGAATCAGGGACTGAGTCTGCCCACCACTTGCGCGACTGATCTACATGGCGCTTCATTATTCTACCATCATTAAGTTTCACCGTGTAATGGCGGGACCCGAGGACTTGGGTTACTGTGCCTGGCAACCACTTATGACCGCTACCTTAATTCCTTGCATATACACATTCACCCTCAGTAAACACCCTAGGCTGTTCACTTTACTCACTGTTTGGTGGCCTGGCGGAGGTTAAGTCCAGGTGCATACCGTCTAGCAAGGTGGTAAGGCGTCGACCCATTAACAGCTCAGCCAGACTCCACCCCGTCACGGAGTGCGGTGTGATGTGTTGGTGCAGCAAGAAGGACGCCACCTTCTGGCCCCAGTTTCCCTGCACCAAACGACCCAAAGTCTCCTTTGTAGTCCGCACCATCCTTTCGGCTTGTCCATTGGTTGCCGGGTGGAATGGTGCGGATGTGCTATGGGCGATGAGGTTTGCCGCCAAAAATTCTTTGAATTCACTGGCCGTGAAGCATGTCCCGTTGCCAGACACCAGAGTGTCTGGCAACCCATGCGTTGCAAACAGTTTCCTCAATACATTTATTACAGTTTGTGCTGTCATTTTGGATGTGGGGACAACCTCGAGCCACTTCTAGTAAGCGTCTACGCCAATTTTAAAAATCTGCCCTTGAAAAGGACCCGCGAAGTCCACATGGACTCTTGGCCATGGGCATTTCTTCCACATTCAGGACATTTCTGGACCCAGGACTCTGTCCTCGTCTATCTTTGGCCACCAGAAATACCCTCTGGCCAGTCCCTTCATACGTACGATACCAGGGTGGCATTCATGCAAAGGCTCTAAGACTTGTTCCCTTAGCTTTGGGGGAACCACCACCCTGATGACCCATAGCAAACATCCCCGATGTACCGACAATTCATTTTGCCGTGATGCAAACAGCTTAAAGCATTCATTTACTCGCCCCACCGGCCACCCCCTCCACACCCAGTTAAGCACCCTGGCAATGGTGGGGTCCCGGGTGGAGGCAGATGCAATGCACCGGAGGTTTGCCCAGTTCCTCAAGGGCCATTACCTCGTAAGCCGGTGCAGGATCATTGTCCAGCTCTGGCAGGGGACAGCAGCTGAGGGCGTCGGTATGCCCCATGGTTTTTCCCGGCCAGTGCTCAGGACATAGTCATAGGCGAAGAGAAAAACCGTCCATCATAACATCTGTCCATCTGGCACAAAGATCCCAAGGAGGGGTTTGTGGTCCATGGCCATAACGAATGGTCTGCCATACAAAAAGTCATGGAATTTTTTAACACCAGCCACTAGCGCCAACCCCTCCTTGTCGATCTGGGCATAGTTTCTTTCAGCCGGTGTTAGTGTCCGCAAGTAATAGGCAATAGGTGCCTCCTTGCTGTCAGCCAGTATGTGGCTCAACACAGCCCCCACCCCATACAGAGATGCGTCCACCACCAAAACCAGTTGCTTGGCCTTGTTGTAGTGGGTAAGGACCGCCTCTGAGGACAACAGCGATTTAATGGCAGTAAAAGCCCGGTCGTGCTGAGGGCCCCATTCCCACTTTGCCCCCTTGTTAAGGAGGCGATGCAAAGGTTCCGCTATCGACGCCTTATGGGGCAGGAAGGTGTGATAGAAATTCAAAATCCCTAAGAAGGATTGCAGTTCCTTCTTAGAGCTAGGTCTGGGGGCGTTTTGGATGGCCCGTACCTTCCCTTCAGTAGGGTGGACACCTTCGGCGTCGATTTGGGACCCCAAGAACTCCACACTGGGTACTCCTAATTGACACTTAGCCCTCTTTACTTTCAGCCCAGCCTCTTGGAATTTACGTAAGATGGACCTGAGGCAGTCTGTCAGTTCTTCCTCGGACCGTCCGGCAATCAACACGTCGTCAAAATAGGGGACCACCCCAGGCAGGCCCCTTAACAAACCCTCCATTAGGCCTTGGAATGCTCCTGGTGCCACGTTCACGCCAAACTGCAAACGGTTTACCTTGAATGCACCCCGGTGCGTGATAATAGTTTGCGCCATGGCGGCCTGGGGGTCTACTGGCAGCTGTTGATATGCCTGTGCCAGGTCTAATTTGGTGAAAACCTTACCCTCCCCTAGTGACGCCAGCACGTGAGTAATTATGGGGACCGGGTAAGAGTGCTGCTGCAGAGCCTTGTTGAGTGTGCATTTGTAATCAGCACATATTCGGATAGACCCGTCAGGCTTTACCGGTGTCACGATAGGGTTCTCCCATTTTGAGTGTGACACTAGTTCAAGCACACCTTGAGACACGAGCTTGTCTAGCTCGGCCTCTATACACGGTTTCAACGAAATCGGTACCTTGCGATATTTAAGCCATATAGGTGCTACAGCAGGATCTAGGTCAAACGTTACAGGAGGCCCCCTATACATTCCCAGAGTACCATCAAAAACATCTGCAAATTCCACATACAGCGAATTCAATTTATTTGCATTGACTTGGTTGATAACCACTTATTGCAATTCCAAGGGCTTCTAACCAGTCTAAGCCCAACAGACTGGCTCGGCGCCCCTCGACAACAAGGAGACTCAGAGACTCCTTGAACCTTTTGAATTGTACCTCAAATGTGGCTTCGCTGGCCACAGGGATGCGCCTTCCCTGAAAATTGGAAAGGTGGATGGTGCTCGGCTGCAAACGCCGACAGCTCCATCGTGGAAACAAGCATTGCAAGGTTTCTGACAAAATGATAGTCACTGACGATCCCGAGTCGACCTCCATCTCGCACGGTACGCCATTCAGCAAGACAGTGACGTAAATCATCTTCTTTGCTCGTGATCCGGTCGAAGGACAGGAACAGCAGCTGGTCAGATGACAATCTGTAGACCTCGTGTTGTCCTTGCCTCGAACCCAGGGCCTTTCACGAGGAGATGACGGTGGTGTCTTCTTCCTCTTGGCCCTGCAGACACTGGCCAAATGGCCTCGCTTGTCACAGGACCGGCAAACGATGTCCTTCGCCCAGCATTGATCCCACTCGTGATCACTGCCGCATCCGGCACAGGTTCGCCGCGGCGCCGTTTTCACTTGGGTCCACTTGGGCCTCAGAGTACAAGACTGGTTGACGTCATTATGCTCACCCTTGGACTCGCTCGTTGATTCGTGGTGTATGGTTTTGTTGGCCCCCTGTTGGATTGGAACCAGGTTTTGACGCACTTCTTGGGTTGGTTTCTCAGCAGCCTCAGCGGCGACAGCCTCAGAGTAGGCCATGGCATAGGTGAGAGCTGTTCGTGCGAACAATTGTTGTTGTAGATTCTCGTCCCTCATGCCACAGACGAGTCAGTCGAGGAGCGCTTCCTCTAGGTTGGTGAAGTTGCACGGGCGTGCAGCCTTCCGCAATGCTGACACGTACTCGGCAACCATCTCGGTCGCGGCCTGGGACCGCTTGTAAAACGTGTGTCTGCTAGTGATCTGCGAGGGTTGTGGTGCAAAATGCCCCTGCAGTTTCAGTTTGAGGTCTGCCAGGGACACGGTTTGGATGTCAGCTGGGGCGACCAGGGACCGAGCGATGTCAAAGACATCCCTTCTGCGGGAGCTGGGGAGTGTCGCCTTCTGCTGGTCCTCAGCCTCGATCTGGTTAGCCTGGAGGTGGAACTTGAACCTGGTCAGGTAGGAATCCCAGTCCTTGAGTTCGGGTTCGAATGCCTCGAACCTTGGGTTGACGGCCATCACTGCTCTCTGTGCCGGCACTGGCACAAGTGCTGAAGCTGCTTGATCAGCCGGGTCTTGTTCTTCCGCCCTGGGTTCCTCAGGGGCTTCTCATTCGTCCGCCGTCTTGCCGTCGGTTCAGCGGGGCTGCCTACCCACTCTATGATCCCATCCTCATCGCCAATTGTTAGATACGAGATTCGAGGCAGCAGGTGAACAGTGATAACAGCTTCATTGAACACATAGTCAGAAGAATAGAACGAGACAAATCAATGGAACAGCAGGCTTCTTTTTAAACTGTCCGGGCTTGGCAAGCCATGCTCACATGTCAGCTAAGGTCCAATCAGAAACTGTACATGAAGGCCAATTACTTCGCTTCCCTCCAGAACTTCTTTTGTTCTGATAGGTCAGATTTCAAGCTCAGTACATTCATTCCATTCCATTCCATTACATACACAACAATCACCTTGGTAAATTCCCTTCTCTTTAATAGGAATGGGTTAACACCTGTTTGGGCTTTGCATATAATAAACACTGGAACTCTCCATACCATGGTCCAAAACTTATACTACCTTGACTATGCAAACAAAGTACCCTAAGGCTATTTTCAGAAATATGTCTTGAAGAGGACGTTTATTGATCTGCACTCATCTTTTGTGGGGCAGGAAGACATAAACAATTCCAAAATGAATGGAACTCAAGGAAGCAGTGCTTTTTTTCTGTTTTTAATACAATAGGGCTGTGCAGAATGCTGATTGGCTGGTCCTTGAGGATTTCATGGAGACAACTTCCTGCTACCCAAAGCAGCCTTTCTGTTTAAAGGGGAAAACAAAAGAACAGGGTGGCTTTTTTAAAAGGTGCTAAGTGCTTAAAAGCACAAGCATGCTCTTTTTAAGGAACCAAAAACCTGTCACAGCATGGGCAACAGGGGAAGATGGAGTTGTGTGCTCAGGGAGTGGACGCGGACTCAAATATAAACTGAGCTGACAGCACACACAAAAAACACATACCAGTACTAATTCTGAAGGGAAGTGCGTTGGTGTGCATTTGTTGACTAGGGCACATGAGAAAGAAAAAAATGCCTTCCAGATGGAACCAGTGTGGTGGACTAAGGCTGGGAAGATCTTGGTTCAAAAATCTCCTCAACCATAAAGCTCACAGCTTCAGGCCAGTCATTTTCTCTCAGGAGGGGAGAAGCATGTATGCTGTTCTGAGCGATTTGGATGATGGAAAAGATAATAATGTACCAGACAAGATGAAAACTGGTACTGGAGAGAACTTAGTTGGACAGAAAGTGTGCTAGCAAAGACAGGGTCTTGAAGAGTATCTTCCCTACTAAGGACTATGAGTGGTGGAAACAGATTTTCTTGCCTGCCAGAATACCCTCTTCCCTTTCCCCCTAATTCTAGGCTTTTTTCAGCCTTTCTAATGGGGTTACCAACTCCAGCTTGTAAAATTCCTGGAGATTTAAGGATGATGATGGGGGCAGGAGCAGATTTAGGGAGGAGGAGGAGGAGGAGGACGCTCAGCAGGGATATCATGGCCATGAATCCATCCTCTTGAGCTGCCATTTCCTCCAGGAGACTTGATTTCTGAGGTGTGGAATTTCATTTGTAATTCTGAGAGAACCGGGCCAGGCCCCACCTTGTGGTTAGTAACCCTATGCACTAACCATGTACAATCAATGAGCATAAGCAGGACTACTGGGAGCTTGGAGGCTCCACTCGTAACCTAGGGAAGTTATTTGGAATGTGTGCATTGAGCCTATTTGTGCTCATGTACACATGTGTCGATAGCTCCACACAGTTGGAATGCTGAAAAAGCAGAATTCGCAGGAAGGCAGCCATGTGCCAGGTGTGCCTCCAGTAGACATATGTAGGTCAGAGGCAGAGCTTGGCATTGTAACCCTTGCTCCCCACCCCTTGCACTTTCATTGTGCTTGACTGGAATGCTTAAGGAGACCTGGCAAGCCTTTACTAAGATTTTAATAAGGAGAGCTGGCAAGACCCTTATTCTACACGTCAGGCAGCAGGAAGTGAAACTGTTATCTGGAGCCTCCGGTTGGTTGGGAGAATAGGGGTTCCTGCGGTCCTTACTGTTAACTCCTCCTTAAAATCTGCAAAGAAACTGTAAACAAGGTAAACACTAAATGGTATAAAATAAGTAGGAGAAAGAATGGATGGGCACTCTCTCCAGTGTGAAGATCAACAGAAGCACTGAAGCAGGCTAGAATCACCTGGGTGTGGTACGGACAGGAAAATGCCAGGGGGTAGTCTTTAATGAAGCGGAAGTGGCCAGGGCCGGGCTGTGAGTTTCATGGGTGAATCAGCACATGGGAGGCATTTGCGTGACTAACGGGTAGGTTGTATGGTGGCTGTGCAGGCATGAACCCACTTTCGGCATCCGCGTGCTGAAATCAGAGGATATGCATGCATACCCTTCAAAATTTGTCAGAGGAAAATACATTGGCTTAGCAAGACAAATTAAGAAGCTACTTTCGGGTATTCCTATGGAACAACTGTGAAGATATTTAATTTCCAAATATAAAATTTCTGCACAATCCAGAACATTTTGTCATGTAAGTTTAATTGTATACAGAAAAAGGGCTGTATGTTTTTCCCTCAGTAATTCCATTACAAAACCCAACAGCTAAATGCTAAATTATTCAGAATTACTACATTCAGGGTATACTAGTGAGCTTGTTAAATTTAGTTCCTTTGTCACCATTATTTTGGCATGAATAGTTAAAAGTTTGGGATAAGAAGAAGAAGAGATTGAATTTATACCCCACCCTTCACTCGGAGTCTCGGTGTGGCTTACAAACTCCTTTCCCTTCCCCTCCTCACAACAAACACCCTGTGAGGGAGGTGGGGCTGAGAGAGCTCTTGACAGAAACTGGTCTTCTTCCAAGAACAGCTCTTATCAGAACTATGGCTTGCCCAAGGTCATCCAGCAGCTGCAAGTGGAGGAGTGGGGAATCAAACCTGTTCTCCCAGATTAGAGTCCATGCACTTAACCACTACACCAAACTGGCTCTCATTATTGGGTACACATTATTGGAAACATTTGGATACATCTCTCCTTACATATAATCGTGAAGTGGGGTGGCACTTTCTGAACATTCCACACTCTCCTAAATCAGTTGGCTCTGTGATGTGTCACTCAGAAGCTGTCCCTATCCACTGGCTGCATTGTCTGAGTCCTGCCTCCAACATTCCAAACAGTTTGCTGTTCCTCTCCCCTCCATAGCCAGTCGGAACACAGAGGTCGTTTGCATATGCGGCCTGATTGGCCTTTGCCTCTAACATTCTGAACAGTTTGCTGTTGCTGTTGGGAGTAATTGAATGTGACATGAGGTAAAATACATATCCTAATCTTCCCTTAAACGGTCACTGGAGTTGCCAATCTCCCTGTGGGGCCTGAAGATCTCCCAGAAATCACCATGTTCCCCAGCCACAGCACCTCATTTCCCCTACAGAAAATTTCCCAGCTATTACAACTGATCTCCAGATGACCAAGATCCGTTCTCCTGGAGACAATGGCTGCTTTGGCCAGTGGATTCTATGGCATTATACCCTGCTGAGGTCCCTCCCCACCCCAAACCTTGCCCTCCCCAGGCTCTACCCCTCAAATCTACAGGTATTTCCCAACCCAGAGTTGGCAACCGTGTAATTGGCTATGGAACCACTTTCCAGATCCTTGGAACCCAGAAAACATGGCATAGGAGGAGGTGCTTTTCTACGTTAGCTGCCACTGCATAGTCCCAAATTAACATAAGCCAACCTCCAGGAGGCACCTGGAGATCTCCAGCTATTAAAACTGATGTCCAGATGACCAAGATCAGTTCTCCTGGAGAAAATGGCTGCTTTGACCAGTGATCTCTGGCATTATACCCTGCTGAGGTCCCTCCCCACCCCAAACCCTGCCCTCCCCAGGCTCTACCCCTCAAATCTACAGGTATTTTCCAACCCAGAGTTGGCAACCCTGTAACTGGCTATGGAACCGCTTTCCAGACCCTTGGAAGCCAGAAGGCATGGCATAGGAGGAGGTACTTTTCTACCTTAGCTGCCACTGCATAACCCCAAATCAACACAAGTCAGGGGTGGAGGGAACCATACCTATTACCATGTGGCTCTCCTCCCATACTACCCACTTGGTGCAGCAAAATGACTTGAGACAGCCCTGCCTTATAGCTAAGCAGAAGGAAACAAACATGGCTTGCCTCCCTCTATTTCCCCCTTCCCTCTGCCACCCCACCAGCCACAACCAGGACACTCACCTGGAGCTTCCTTCTAGAGCTCGTTGTATTTCTTCCCACAACGAGCTTTACTCCTAGTTCAAATAATAAAAAAGAGTAATTGAACCAATGAAATAGATACAGATAGAAAATTTAGTGCCCAGCAGTAAGTAAGAACTAAGTCCCAGAACTCCCACTACTTAGGGTTGCCAAGTCTAGGTTGGGAGATTCCTGGAGATCTGGGAGTGGAGCTTCAGATGGGCAGAGTTGGGGGAAAGGGGACCTCAGTGGGAAATATTGCCGGAGGCTCCACCCTCCAAACCAGCCATTTTCTCCAGAGGAACTGATCTCTGTCATCTGCAGATCAGTTGTAATTCTGGGAGCTCTCCAAGCTCCATTTGGAGGTTGGCATGGCAGCCCTACCACCCTACAGCAGTAGAAAAGAGCAAGAGTCCAGTAGGACCGTAAAGACTGACAACATTTGTGGCAGGGGACGAGTTTTTGTGAGTCTCTGCTCACTTCTTCAGATATCTGAAGAAGTGAGCAATGACTCACAAAAGCTCATATCATGCCAGAAAGTTTGTCAGTCTTTAAGGTGTTACTGGACTCTTGCTCTTTTCTACCGCTACAGACAGACTAACATGGTTACCCATCTTCATCTACCATCCTACTGGCTGTTGGATCCCCAAGCATCGAGAATAAATCCACGTTTTCAAGAAAAGCAAAATTTATTTCAAAGCGTTGAAGACATACTCAAACACGTTCTTTGTTAGAACTGGGGATACACAGTTAGGTCAAGCATAATAAAGGAAATTCAAACAGATACAGATCCAATGAATAGCATTCCCGCTGGCGGGCTAATGAAACGGTTGCGCGCCCAGTCCATGGGAACCAGGCAGAACATCAGACAAAACACAGATGCAGTACTCATGAGAAAAGCAATAGGCAAGCATTACAGCATCTTCTCCCCCACACAACCTCCAGCAGTTATCTTGTGCATTCCAACGCAGGAGCAGGATGATAGAAAATAAGCCGGGTGCAACAGGGAAAGGATATGTACACAGAGGTCACAGAAAACAGAATGGCAGCTTGCTGACATACTGCCCCCCTTAAAATACACTTACAACACACCTCCCGGGTTGGGCGGGAGATCTCCCGGGCTGGGCGGGAGACCTCCCGGTTTGTCCGGGAACCTCTTGTGGAAACTACGGATCAGGTAAGGGGCCCGAATATCCCCTTCTTCCACCCATTCGCGGTGCTGGGGACCGAAATCAACCCATTCGATAAGGTACCAGAGTTTACCACGTTTCAATTTACAATCAAGGATATCAGCGATCTCAAAATGTTCATCCCCTTCCAAAATGACAGGTGGAGGAGGAGTAACTGCTGGTCTCCAGGGAGACGGGCCAGGATCCTTCTTCAACAGGCTCATGTGAAAAACAGAATGCAGAGCACGTAAATTCTTAGGCAAAACAACATCAACCGCCACATCATTTATGACTTTACGCACTTTGAATGGACCTATGAACTTCCACCCCAATTTCCTGCTAGGCCGCAGCATCTTAATGTTCTTGGTCGAGACATACACAAGATCCCCAGGTTTCAGATCAAACCCCACCACCCTACCCTTGTCTGCCTGGGTCTTGTAAGCAGCCTTGGCTGCGTCAAGCGTTTGGCATAGCAGAGGCCATGCATTTTGCAAGGACATACACCATGTATCAGCATCCCCCACAGGACGTTGGCCCATCCCCTCCAGGAAAGGGAGGGGGGGCTGTCGTAACCAGAGACAGCTTTATAAGGAGACATGCCCGTGGAGCTATGGACAGTATTGTTATAACAATATTCAGCAAGAGGCAACAATTCACACCAATCATTCTGTTGATAATTAGTAAAACAACGAAGATATTGCTCCAGGGTCTGATTAACTCGTTCTGTTTGTCCGTCAGTCTCAGGATGATACGCGCTGCTGAGCCCTTGTTCCACCCCTAAAATGGAAAGAAGTTCCCTCCAAAACTTAGAAACAAATTGGGTCCCCCTGTCAGAAATTAATTTAGCAGGTAATTGATGAATTTTCACCACGTGAGACATAAACGATTTCGCCAACCTCTGAGCTGTAGGCAAGGAAGGAAAAGGCACAAAATGAGCTTGCTTAGAAAATAAATCAACAACCACCCAAATAACAGTGTTCCCTTTGCTCGCAGGGAGGTCAGTAATAAAGTCCATGGACACCACTTCCCACGGTCTCGATGGGGTAGGGAGTGGCTGCAGAAGACCAGGATCCCTCAGTTCCGCTCATGATCTTGCCAGATTCGGAACGATAGGAGAAAGAGAGTTCTAACAATATGTTGGATCCCCAAGCATCGAGAATAAATCCACGTTTTCAAGAAAAGCAAAATTTATTTCAAAGCGTTGAAGACATACTCAAACACGTTCTTTGTTAGAACTGGGGATACACAGTTAGGTCAAGCATAATAAAGGAAATTCAAACAGATACAGATCCAATGAATAGCATTCCCGCTGGCGGGCTAATGAAACGGTTGCGCGCCCAGTCCATGGGAACCAGGCAGAACATCAGACAAAACACAGGTGCAGTACTCATGAGAAAAGCAATAGGCAAGCATTACAGCATCTTCTCCCCCACACAACCTCCAGCAGTTATCTTGTGCATTCCAACGCAGGAGCAGGATGATAGAAAATAAGCCGGGTGCAACAGGGAAAGGATATGTACACAGAGGTCACAGAAAACAGAATGGCAGCTTGCTGACACTGGCTGGCAACCCAACTAGTGCTCTCTCATCCATTCATAAAATAAAAATAACTTTTAAAAAACCTTTCCTTGCCTGAAAGGACAATCTTTGTCTGAAGTCTCTCTGTAGATGTGACCTATCCTTCAAGGACCAATGCAGGGTATTAGCAGCACTGCAAAGTGAAGTGGACGACGGAGGAAAGGGGACTGTGTGAGAGGTCTTCACTCCTAGAGCCAGGATGGTTGATTGCCTCTGTCTTCACAGTTTCTCTTGCACCTTGGTCTTGGTCGTTTCCCTCTAAATGCATGAACGGGATCAGATAGTGGTGCATGGGCCCATAGGAAAGGAAATAATTTTGGGGTGAGCTGGCTGTGGCAGGAGAGGAGGACCGTTAGAGATTCACCTCCTTGGCAGTGTGGGTGGTGGGCGGGGAGAGACTGGGTGCTCAGTAAGGTACTTTTTGTGGCTGGCTTCCTCTCCCAAGGACCACTCGTGGTAGGGCCAGTGTCAAAGTGTCCTGGACCACTCTCAGCTTAATGAAACCTGTGGATCCCAGCTGCAGATCTCACGGCGGGTCCTGAAATGGATATGATGGGAGGGGGGGGGCTTTTGAAAGAGACTTCTTCCGGCACCTTGTTCCTGTGGCTTCTCCTGGGAAGGGCGGGGCGGGGCCGGGCGGGACCGGGCGACACAGGCTTTGCTCCCCCTGTCATGGTGCTCCCTTCGCCCACAGCTCCTTACCAGTGTGCTCCCTGCAGGAGATTCGTGGGGGATCCTTGCCTTCCTGTGTGCCACGCTCTGGAACCTTCCTGTGGTGCCTGCCCTGAACAGCACGGACCAAGTGACTACCAGACAGTCCATCCAGCAGACGTACGACCTCACTCGCTATCTGGAACACCAGCTGCACGCGCTTGCGGCCACTTATGTGAGTGTAGAAGCTTTGGGAGAGTCGGAGACTACTGAGTTGAGTAACCTACTGGAAACCCCCTTCCCCCCCTTCCTTTGTGCCCCCTATGCCCCACTTCCTCTCCCAACCAACTCTGGTTTCTCTGCACCATGATGAGGTCAGACTGTGCTCTTCCCCCCTGTACTCTGGGCTGAGAGTTCAGTCAATCCCACACATGACCACATACAAAACTGAGTCTTGAAAGCTCAGTGCAAGGAACGAGGGTACCAAAAGAAGAGCAGATCTGCCTCCGCTCAGCGTGTGAAGGGATTCAGAGAGGCAGGCAGTCCTTGAACTGCCTGCAGCACCTTCAGGTAGGGGCCCCGTCTGAGATTCCTCTTATGCAATAAAAACAGTTAAACTATCACGCTCTCCACAGCCATGGCCCTCGCTTGGCAGCTTATCTGACACACTGCCCCCTCCCTGCCTCCAGGCACCGGTGGAGTCTCTCTGTTTACAATCTGTTGTGCATCTCCTGCTGGGGTGAGGCGAGGCCTTCGTCTGTCAGAACTCGCCAAGGAAACGCCCGGCTGTGTGGAGAGGAGAGACTGGGGCAGCCCCTCTGCCTGCATGGTATCCCCTGCCCCCTGGCCTACCTGGCATTCCAAACCCTACCCCTTGGCAAGGTTTCTTGGCACTGGATACTAAGAGCAGTCATGAATGGAAAGAAGAAATACAGTTGAATTTGGCACTAGAACATTTAGGAGCTCATACTTTCCAGCATAACTGACTTCTGGAAATTTCCTTTTTAAAACAGAACCTGAGACACTTAAATCCTCACCCAAACCCAAGAGCTGTGGTGGAAAGTGCCATCAAGTTGCCGCTGACTTAGGGCACCCTGGCAGGGTGTTCAAGGCAGGAGACATTCAGAGGTGGTTTGCCACTGCCTGCCTCTGCATAGTAATTCTGGACTTCTTTGGTGGTCTCCCATGATCCAAATACTGACCAAGGCTGACCCTGCTCAGCTTCCAATATCTGACAAGACTGGGCTTGGCTGGGTTCTCCAGATCACGGTAACCCAAGAACTAGGCCATTCTGCAGCGGCTGATTTCCTTTCTATTTCCAGTGGGCTGAAATCACTCACTGAAGAGACTTGTCCTTTGAACTGAACAGCCTTCTCAAACATGCCAAACTGCTAGTGATTTTTTTTTGCCATCAAGTTGCAGCCGACAGCAACCTTGTAGGGTTTTCAAGGAAAGAGACAGAGGTGGTTTGCCATTGCCGGCCTGTGGGTAACAACCCTGGTATTCCTTGGTAGTCTCCCATCCAAATACTAACCAGGACCAACCCTGCTTAGCTTTGGAGATCTGATGAGATCGGGCTCACTTGGGCTACCCAGGACAAGGGCGCTGGTGATGACGGAAGGGCGCCTTTCCACGAGCTACTAGGCAGGGCCAAATGGCTACCCAGCATGAAACCCACCCTCATGAATAACAGTGTGCAGAAAAGGGTGGGGTGATCCTAGGCCAGGACGAGGACCACAGGCTTTCTTTCTTACTTTTTATGACTTTCCTACTTTAATACTAAAACAAGAGGCTGAAATGCTGCAATATGGGGTATAATTCCATATTATTCTTTGACTGGAATGTACCTAATGAAATGGCAGTATTTTGATCATTCATATTAATTGTTTGCTTAATGATCATTTTAGCAGACAGAATAGAAGAATCATAGAATCATAGCATGTTAGAGTTGGAAGGGACCTTGCAGATCATCCAGTCCAACCCCCTGCACTCTGCAGGAGCACAGCCAAAAGAGAGCCCTACATACCTACAACATACCCGAAAGCTGGTCGTCCAGCCTCCGCTTGAAAACGTCCAGCGAAGGAGCATCCACCACCTCCCGAGGCAGCCTGTTCCACTGCTCAACCACTCTTACAGTTAGGAAGTTTCTCCTGATATTTAGCCGGTAACAACTCCCTTGTCGTTTCCACCCATTAGACCTAGTCTTGCAGGCTTAGGATAGAGGTCTGTCCTGGAATATGAGTCCAACAGGATAGTGCCATGTGTATATTGCCACATGTAATTAATGCTTTTGTGGGTATGTCACCTTCAGCACTCAGAGCGGGAAACACCAATTGGTGGTGGGTTCCCATGGTGTATACATGCATTGTAAGCAATATGAGTGCAGTTAAATCATGCAGTATTTACAGTTTCCTACATACAAACAATGTCTGTGTATGAAATTTGTTAAGACTTGGAGCAGCCCTCAAAATGTCATGTCTAAGTTGGTTCCAGTTTTCTGCAGATATAAATTGAAATAAATTGTTAACAGCAGTCATGGTGGGTTCTTTATTTACAGCATGAACCTGACTTCACAACATCCCTTACACACATACACATAAACAAGACGAGTGATGGATCAGTTCTTCGTTTTGCTGTTTCTTTTATGCCTTCACTGGGCCATCCATTTTGAGAAGGAAAATTTAAAACAGTATTTGTATGTCAATACACATACATATTCACCTTAACACACACACCCCCAAAAAATATCATGAACATTTTGAAATCAGTTGTAAACTGCTCCAAGGATCGTGGTGCTGGTGATGTCTGATATACTAGCCTATATGAGCTAACCACAACTGATCCTCAAACAAATCTACACGTGCTTTTGAGGCAGTGCAGATAATTTCAAACCATCTTTGCCATACCTAAAACATGTGTGTCTTCAGATGATACAAGAGACAAGGCAGGATGAGGTAGGACCTCAGTTATTACGTTATACCAACGGTGGCATCATGATTCTAAGAGAACGTGTTGCGCTGAGAGGACTGCATGGAATAATCAGAGCCCCCCTGCAAGCCCAGCTGTTTCACCCTGCACTTTAACACAGCATAGCTCCCCACAATACTGTCTGCCACCGTTATACTTTCTTTTCACTCCCAAAGTCTGGTTCTCCTGAGGGTTAGGCCCCTCACCTACTGCTTTTCCCTGAGTAGGCTGACATTCGGTGATGCATAGTGATGAGCAACTGAATGGTTCAGCAACAGGGGAAATAGCCACACATGTGCACGCACGCACGCACGCACACAGCCAAATAGCAACAGGGTTTCTGTATCTCACAGGAAACCAGGTGATTCAGCTGCCTTGTTGGTGACTCTTTGATGGTTGTGATTTCTGCCAGGGGATTTCTGTTTGAGCAAAGTCATTTCCATATGTGGTGATATAAGGAGTTGGTGCAGAAGGCCGTTCAAACATTCTGGGAAAATGTAATACCAGGGTCTCATCCACATGGGGATCACTTTGGAGATCCAATGTGCTGTTAAAGTGAATCAAATCTCCATTAACTCACTTGGTTGATAGGCATCTCATGGCTAGTACAGTCCTGCTGCTGTGGTAAATACTTGCATGTCTGCCTTTTCCTAGGACATTTCCCTTGCTTCCAGTACTAGGTGCGGGGCAGTGCTTAGCGACGGTCATGAGTAGCAGCAGATTTTTAATGTAATTTTTTCATATTTTTAAATAATTAAAAAAAAAATGAGTAGCAGCAGATGCCTGGGCCAGCCTTGCAGCCAACTGGATGCGATCACGGAACTTAGGGCTGAGGATAGTATGTACCCCACCCCACCCCCCACATTTCAGGGGTTTTGTTTTTTGGTGGGTTTTTTAAAATCATTGTTTAAAAGGCATGTTTACAGCCTTTCCGGCAGGAAACATAGGTGGGACAACTTGTGAGCCATTTCTAGTGAAATTGCAGAAGAAAAGGAAGCTTTCTACACTCAGAGAGTGTTCTATGTAACTTTTGATCCTTTCAGTGACAAGCCAAGGAAATGGTAAAAAAAAGAAGCAAGTGTGTGCTCTTTTTCATAAGTTATACAGGTCACAGAACTCAGCTTTTTTGATGCAACATTTGAGTTATCTTAGCAGAGAATTTAAATATTTCCCCCTTTGATAAGGAGGAAAGGAAGGATATAAACATTTAAACAAATAAATATCCCTTCTACTGATGTGGAAAGATTGGTATCGTTAATACAAATCCCCAGTTGTCCAGACCAATTCTGTTTGCCTCTTGGCTCTCTTCTCCCGTACACCCACCTCCCATGAGTTCACACATGCCACTTAAGAAACTAGTCTTCCGCTTTTCTGCCGCTATCAGTGTACATGTGTGAAAAACAAGAAGGTTCAGATTCATGCTAGAAGGTTGATTTACAATTGCTTTTAAGCCTTTGCATGCTTTATGATCCAACTGTGAAAGCACAAGTCATATTCTTAGGGCCAGACAAATGAGATGCTAGGAGATCTCTGAATAGATCTGCCCAACATTTTATAAAGGTAAATTGCAAATGGGGTGGGACAGGTTGTATCAGAGGGGGCAGGGCTTGGGAAGGACGCAGATTCTGTTGACTGAACCACCCAACTCTCTGCCTGTTGTTAGCCCAGGAAGTCTGTTGATTTGTCCACACACACACCCCAGGTATTAATAGCCGTGGACAGTTTTGATCAGCAAAATCACTTTGGGGAGGAGGGGAGGGTTAAACTCCTCTTCTCACTGTGCTGTAGGTCCAGGTCCATTCACCTGCCTCCCAGCATCTTGTCTTTTTTGTCCCCATCACTCATCAGTCAGGGAGTATTCAGCATTAAATCCGTGTACGCCCAGCTCGTTGCGCTTGCTGAGAAAGCTTTGACTGCAGCCTGTGTCGGAATACTCAAAATTTTGAAAACAAAGAATTCAAGGATAGTTTCAAAAGGTCCTTGTGGTTTGGTGGTGGGCATAGTGTGTGTGTGTGGGGGGGGGGGTTTCATCATTGTTCAACATTTTGGGACGTTTTGGTTATTCAGATAGCCCGTTAAGGAAATAGAGAGAATTCCAGCATGCTTAGTCAAGCCTTAAGTTGTCTGAGAGGGCTGAGGTCACAATCTCTTGAAAATGCCCATGAAGAAGAACAAACTGGGAAAGGAAAGCTTTTGTGGGATGCATTTAGGCGCTATCGCTGGTCTCCCCTTTTCACATCCCCCACCCACAGCAGTGCGTCTTCCAGCTGCGTGTCCTGCCTGCTGCCTCGTACCCCCTTCCTTCTCTCCTCTTGCCCTTGCAAAGTCCCTGCCCTCGTGGCAGCTGCTCCTTCCCCACTTCCCCTGCCGGTCGCAGGGTGCTGGCCACGCCCCAGCCTGCCCTGTTAGTCGGCTTGTGCTGTTGTTTGGGGAGAACCGTCTCCACTTGCCCTCAGGTGACACAGAGGAAATTAATTTGTCTTCTGAGCTTGTCAGATTGTTCACACACCCGCAGGCCTTGACACACCTCCCTTCCGCTCTGCGCTTCACCCTAGCCGCCTACCCACGCGGCCTGGGCAATCCTGCTGCTCGGCAAGGCACTGGTGCTGGCAGTGGGGTGGGGAATCCCAGGAACACAACTCAGCGGGGTGGAAAGGTGTTAATGAACTCTGTGTGTGCGCACACATGTATCCACGAGAATGTGCAGGGGGAAGGGGAGATTTCAGTAGGTATATGTCTTTGACTCTCTCTCTCTCTCTCTCTCTCTCTCTCTCTCTCTCTCTCTCTCTGTGTGTGTGTGTGTGGTTGCAGGGCTGATGGCAGTGGCTGTCACCAGTCAAGAGGCAATATTAGCATATACACATACAGGGAGTCTCAATAGATCTTAACATATTTGCATATACAGGGATATGTCTGTACAAGCATATGTGCTGGTGTGTCAGCATTTGGAGGCATGCATTTCAGCACCACAACCACCGCATTTATTTATTTACTTACTTAATTCATATCCCACCTTGCTCCTAAATGGGGACCCAGGGAGGCTTACAGGGTTCTTCTCCTCTGTTGTATCCCCACAGGAACAGCCCCGTAAGGTAGGGAAGGCTGGGAGTGTGTGACTGTCCCAAGGTCCCCCAGCTGGCTGCCGTGGAAGAGTAGTGAGGATGTGCACCTGGGTCTCCCGGAGCCTCGTCCGCTACTCTAACCACGGCGTCGCTCTGGCTCTCATGCAAGGTGTATGCTTAAGGCCAGGGTGTTACGCAGCTCTGAAGAATTACACTGGCTCAGTCCCATCGTGCACATCTCGTTGCCCCAATGAGCAGGAATAGGAGGTTAAGGATATGAGGAGGGTGGGTGGGGAAGTACACGGAGCGTCTGGAAGACTTGAATTTAATGGCCTCTTGTCTTTTTCTTCAGCTCAACTATTTGGGACCACCTTTCAATGAGCCGGACTTCGACCCTCCCCGGCTCATCGGGGCAGAGGCTGTCCCCAGCGCTACGGTGGACTTCCAGCTGTGGCGCAGCCTGAATGACAATGCGCGGCTAGCAGCCAACTACCGGGCCTACAGCCACTTGCTCTGCTACCTGAGGGCCATGGACGGAGCCACCCCGGCCGCCATGCCGGCCTTGCACCACAGCCTGGCCCACTTCCGTGCCAGCCTGCAAGGGCTGCTGGGCTCTATCGCTGGCATCATGGCTTCTCTGGGCTACCCGCTCCCGCCTCCAGTGCCTGATGGGACACCCACCCCTGACAGCCACTTCCTGCGGAAGATGGATGACTTCTGGCTGCTCAAAGAGCTGCAGACCTGGCTGTGGCGCTCAGCCAAGGACTTCAATAGGCTGCGCAAGAGGGTGCCACCTTCTGCCCTTATGCTGCACCTCGAAACCAGGGGCTTTTGACCCCTGCCCGTCACCATTCTTTATCTCATCACCTCAGCCACTGGTGGCGTACCTGCCCTTCAAAGGCCTAAGGTGTTTCAGTGCCTACGGATCTACCCTCCCCTCCCAACCCACCTCAAAAAACGTCCCCCTCCCTCATGGTGCTGCACCGCTCTCATGTATGAAGCTGTGCCTCTAGGTGAGCGCCCTCTCCTCGCCGACCCATTCCCTTCGGTCCTCCCCCTTCGCTCCTTATACTTTCCGTCTCCCTTCCTTCCCAGAGGGGACTGTTTGTTTCCCAGAAGGAGAGGAAGCACCCTGCTCCCTCCCACCTCAGTGATGAGCAATAAAGCCCTGGCTGCCGGGCAGCAAACATCTGGCAGCCTCCACCTCTGACTCTCCAGCGCCTTCGTTTGCTCTCCCCGGAGCCTCGGAGGCTCCTGCATTCCCTTTGGAAGGGATGGGGCCAGCGAGGAGGAGGCATTACAGCCAGGCCTCCCACGGGTGAGGCTGGGCAGTTCTGAGGGAAGCACTCCACACAGTCACCGAGGCCACGAGTCCTCTCTGCCCGCTTCTACTTCGCCTTGCGTGCCGTGGCAGGCCAGCCAGTGGAGCTGGGGGCTTCACACGGACACCAGCTAGGGAGGGGAGAGGGGAGGAGATGGGAGAGTTTCCCCACAGACGGCCCCATACTCCGGTCTCTCTCCTCCCGTCTCTGCTCACCCCCCGTCCCCCCCCCAGTCAGGTTGTGTTAATTCCAGTTTGTCTGTATTAATATTTATTTATTTTCAGATGTTATTTATTAGATTGTATTTATTGCAGAATTTCTATTCTTGTATTAACAAATAAAAGGCTTTCTCCAGGATCTTTATTTATTTAGTGCCTTTTTATCCTAGCCTTCCTCCAAGGTGCTCAGAGTGGTATATAGTCATTCTCCCCTCCTCCGTTTTATCCCCACAACAACCTTGTGAGGTAGGTTAGGCTTTGTAAGAATAACTGGCCCAAGGTTGTTTGGCAAGCTTCATGGCAGAGTGGGGATTTCAGCCTGTGTTTCCCCGTTCCTCTTCTGACACTCCTCTAACCACTACACCACACAGGCTCTGGGCACAGATGTAGCAGACTGTGTTTGTGCCTCTGTATAAGAGACTTCTTCCTACTGAACTTACACCGAGAAGACTGCAATGAAGATGCTTGTGGCCTCTGCCCTGGAGGATCCACTACCGGTGCCATAAGCCCAAGAAAGCCGTGTGTTCTGCAAACAGTGATGCTGTGTGGATCGGAGAAGCCTTTCTTACAAGATGAGTCTCCTTGCCGCCCTCCCCCCCCTTTATGCCCCCAGCACTGACCCCATTAGAGGTAACTGTAGAAGCGGCAAGTGGGACTTAGAAGAGCAAAAGTCCAAGAGGTGCAGGGGCTCATTAGCGTAACTCATTAGCATATGCCACACCCCCTGACATCTCCCTTCCCTTCGCCTCCAAGCTGGGCGAAGGAAAAGGGGGGGAGGATCTTGAGTGCTCCTGTCTGACAGAGGGGCCAGGGAAGGCCAGGGTTTCATGGGCTGGGTTGCCAGTCAAAGGGAGTCCAGAACAGGCTAAGGTCAGGAGCCAAGAAGACAGTGCAAAGTCCAAAAGCCAGGCTGGGGTCAGAAGCCAGGAAGACAGAGCCAAAATCACTAACCAGAAACATAGTCCAAAGCCAAGCCAGAGTCAGGAGCTGCCCAGAGTGTGGAGTTAAATGCTGCTACCAATTAGCCAGCTGCACGATCGGCCAGGCTCCTGTTAAAACTCTGGGCTGGCTGAGCATCTCCCTTGTAGCCTGGCCTCTCTTCATCTGCTTGCTAAGTTTTGTCGCAGTCGCTCCCTTAAACGAGTCACACATGGGGGTGAGTCAGGAGGACTTTCAGCTTGAAGTTTCTTCCTTCTTATCTGGGCCAGGTGTGAAGACTGCTGTTACAGGCACTTGCCAGCTATCCTCCTCTGCTGCTTCAGAGGGGCCAGCTGTGGTTTCTGCCGGCTCTGCCAGCTCATCCTCATCCATGCCCATTACCCGGGGGGGGGCACTCTGCAGGCCTTACCTGGCTTGCATTTAGATGTCTCCCCACTCTTTGCAGGGCCTTCCTTGGCTCGCCCACCTCAGCCAGCGGGCCGGGGGAAGTTGGGGGGAGGGGCTCTCACCAGGCTCGTGAATGCCGGAATGCCGTCCGGGCTCATTCTGGCTGGAAACGACCCCTGTGCATGAGTAGACAAAAGAGTTGCAGAGCTGTGGCAGATACACATGAAGTTGGGGGATATAATTCAGGAATGAAATAGGGATGCCAGCCTCCAGGTGGGACTTGGGGATCCCCCAGAATTACAGGTCATCTTCAGACTACAGAGATCAGTTCCCCTGGAGAAAATGGATGCTTTGGAGGGTGGACTCTATGGCATTGTACCCCACTGAAGTCCCTGTCTTCCCCAGGTGTTTCCGAACCTGGGTCTTGCAGTGGCAACCCTAACCCCCCCCATTCTACACCAGGGGCTAGAGGAGATCTGGCAACCCTAGAATGATGAGATAGAAGGCAGTTGAGGAACTGGAAGACAATATTTCAAGGTCTTGTATGAAAGTGAGCAACTGGCCCTTCTCTTATTATAGAAGAAGAAGAAGAGATTGGATTTATACCCCGCCCTTCACTTGGGAGTCTCTGAGCGGCTTACAAACTCCCTTCCCTTCCCCTCTTCACAACAGACACCCTGTGAGGTGGGTGGGGCTGAGAGAGCTCTTGACAGAAACGGCTCTTTTTCAAGGACAGCTGTGCCAGAGCTTGTGACTGACCCAAGGTCACATCAGCAGGTGCAAGTGGAGGAGTGGGGACTCAAACCCGGTTCTCCCATATTAGAGTCCGCACACTTAACCACTACACCAAACTGGCTCTCTTTTATATGGATGGAGGCTCTGAGCCTTTTACAGTTTCAGAAATCAACAGGTAAAATGCTTCTAAAGATGTAGGAAAAAGCATGCTGATTTCAGCCCACGATATGTAGCAACTAATGGAATCAAGCCTCTGTCCATAAAAAGGTGGCAGTCTTTGCCTTACTTAGCTCTCCCAATTAGATTTGCTAAGCTTTCTTTAGGCAATGTACAAAAGAAACTGTTCTAGAGGCAGTTGGCTATTCTTGGTTCAAACAGAGCCTAATGGATAGATATCTTCATTTATTCAGGGCAGGAGAATTGGCAGGTCTTTACAGAAGATCTGAGAAAAATAGGTAATGAGAGAACAATGGTGATATCACTGTTTGAGTTCTCTTCACAGTTTAAGGGGTTAAGCAACGACTGAAGCAAACTGAAAGTGATGGAAAAAATGCCCCAGATTAACAAACCCTCTCGTTCAGAATGGCCACTTAAATACTAGCAATGCCACCAACGAGAATATGTACAAGTGGGTTGAATTCAGAATGCGTCAGTAACATAAGGGCCAAACTACTTGACAGGATTTTCCTGTGCTGAGAGGAGTGAATGCATCACGTCTGGGTATCCTGGACCAGACTCACTCTCCCCCCAGCAACACAGCAGCTTTGTGGAATGTTGTTTTAAAAGCCTGCAGGGCCTGGGCTTGGCTTGGGAACTCAGCACGGTGGAGAGCGGGAGGGCTCTTGCCTCCCCCAGCCGCTCTCTAGAGCCAAAACAGCCTTGGGGGAAGTTGGGCCAAATTGTGATCTCAAGTGGAATTCAACCCTCACAGTGCAGGGAGAGGGTGGGCTAAAAATCCAAAGAAACAAATAAATAAATTTTAAAACGACATTCCCTGCAGCTGCCTTGTGGCTGCAGGGGAAGCGAGGAACCTAAACCCGACTCATTTAAAATCGTACCCTGTACTTTGGCCCTAAGAGTAACTTGGGATAGAGAGAAATGAATGTGGCTGGACCTGGAGCCTGCCCCTTTTACAGCAGAATAATATGTGGAAATAGGCACCAGGCAGCTGACAAACCCCGTGTCTAATTACTTTAAGCATGCTTCATAAGGTTCAAAGTGCTTCCCATGCATCATCTCCAATCATTTTTGCAACGCTCCTATCAAATGGGGTGAGAGGCAGGGGCTCGTGTAAGGCCTCCTGAGGGCATGGCTGAGGGGAGACCCTTGAACTGGTGACTTCCTTGCTCTCATACCACTTGCCATTATAGGAACAGGAGTTGTTGATATCTTGAATTCTGGACATTTCTGATTGTGTAAATGATAGGCAAGAGCAAACCCCAAAGCTGAGAATCAGTGCAGTAGCTTTATGTCATAATGGAAAGATGAAGGCCCCAGGAAAAAGTATCAAAGGTGCCAGAAAACACAGGGGGGGGGGGGGGGGGTGTAGGGGGGGTGAGAGGCGTGGCTATTTGCGCAGTTGCATTCTGATCCGCCACTATGCGATCAGAGGCAATGTCGGCGCACCGGGGTTTCATCCTTCGGCACGCGCTGCAAAGAGGAGGAAATAGGCACGGAGCCGGAGGAAATAGGCACGAGCCGGCGCGATCACACCGAACGAGTCTGTCTGCAGCCGTAGCAAACCATTTGCTAGTAGATCTTTGTAGGTACTTTTTAACTGCGCATCTTTGGCGGCACGCCACGGGTTGGCCAGGGGTGTGCTATACTTGCCAGATGTTGTGGTGTGATCGTGCCCTGAAAATCCACCCAGCATTCGTGCCTTTCG